TAGAGGCTTATTCTACCCAAATGGTGAGAGCATCTGAAGTTACCAGAATCCTTCTGAAGGATTCCAAGGTATGGCCTCCCTTCCTCTATACAGAGTGATAATGAACCCTCCTTTATATTGGAGGTAACTCAGCAAGTAAGCAAAGCCCTGCATCTAGAAGGAAAATTGCATGCATCCTGGAGACCTCATTCTGTGGGAAAAACAGGGAAAATTAATCACATTTTAAAGAAAAACTATAGCAAAATTCATGTAGGAAACCCATCTGAAGTGGGATAAGGTGTTGCTCCTTGCCCTCCTTCAGATAAGGGTAGCCCCTAGAAGCAGACTTAAGTTAAGCCCCTATGGAATAGTTTATGGGAGACCCTTCCTAGCACCCTGAGGTAAGTGTGGTAATATAGCCATAAGCGAAGAAAACAAAGTAAAGCAATATATCAAATCTAACCACTATGCATGAGGGAGGACAATGGTTCATTAAGACAAGAGTCTACCATCCTCCTCATTTGCTGGAAAATTAATAATCTTCTCTCTCCTTTTCCTCAAACTGCTTGTCCTCATTCTTCGTTGGGCCTCAGGAACAAGTACTGAACTTTTGGTAACAGCAGGATGATCACATAAGGCCATGGTCGATCTGGGTGTGAGTTGGGAAGGATGGGCATCAGGTGAGAGTTAGGAATGAAGGACAGAGTAGATCTGGTTTTCATTTGTTTGTTTTTGTTTGAATGGAGCAATTACATATTCCTATAAATGAATAATATAATAAAAATGCCAAAGCTAATATATTGCTGATCTTCATTCTTGAGGAGTAAATATTAATAGAATGATAAAGCGTCTTATAAAAGACAGCCACATGAATTCTTTATCTGCTTGACGTTCTCAAGAACATTGTTCTTAATCCAGTCTTACGTTCTCTATGCAATTTTCCAAGTACGTCATTCTTTTGAAAGTTTAGTCCTTAGAAAACTTGGTGTACTTTTGAGGAACTGTTATGTTTTCTCCCTTCTCATGTTGAGAGCTATGAAGCTCAGGCAATTTTCCCTGAATGCCAGCAGGCTCCAATCCAGCCCTCAGCTTAACCACCGCAGCTGTGTTGACTTTAGGTGGTAATCTCTGTTTTCTCCTTTGTTCTTAATTCTCCTTCCCTCTCGCTGGTCATTACTCTTCACTAATCTTACTGTTGTGGTTTCTCCTCTTCCCTCTGTAAGTGTCCCTAGATGATTTTTCAATGCTACAAAGGAAAGATCCATTTAATATGTGACAATTGCTCTCCCTCCTATGTCTCCAGCCTCAGTTTCTTCCCTGAGCTCCAGCATCATATTACTACATCTTGCTTGTATTTTGCCCCACCCTTGAAACAGATGGTCCCACCTAGCAGTTTCTTATGTCCAACTTCCAAACTTATTCAAATATAGTCACTAAACCAACAGCATCAGCATCACCTGGGAACTTTTCAGAAATGCAAGTTCTCAGGTCCCACTCCAAAGTACTGAATCGGAAACTCTGGGGTTGAGGTCCAGCAATCTGAGTTTTAACAAGCCCTGCAGGTGATTCTGACACAGGCTCAAGTTTAAGAATCGTTACCCTAGAGAATGACTGTGCTCTTTCTTTCCTGATTTGTGTGTCTCTGGTCCACCTGTCATATTTGGTCTATGATCCTGGAAAATTCTTTATACACTTTTGAGAATAAGCATACATTTTTAAAAGAGCTTATCTGATTGGTATATCTAATTATTTAATTATCCTGCCACAGTCAGTATAGCATTTTTAGGTACCCTATCTCATGGTCACTCTCTGGTCCATGCTTGAACCACTCTTGGATGACCTGACAACACCTGGTCCAATCAGTAGCCACCTCTATTTAAAAAACAGGCTATTACTCGTTTTCTAAGCAGAGGCATAGCAGATAAACCAGAAAGAGGACTGTTACTGTCCAATAAATGTATCTTTAATTAAGCAGATGTGTACATGACTTCAGCAGAGGGCTAGTTGGAATTTTCTCAGTTTGGCAACCTGGATTCAGTCTCCTTTTAGGAAAGATAAGAGGCAACAATTATTGCCTGGCATCATTGGAAACAGTCCAAACCAAGGCAGTTTACCCATTCTGATTTTTGAAGATAGTTCAAGTTGGTGTTGAGATTAAAGATTCCACAATAAGTGAAGTGCACAAGGACCCAATTCCTAAATTACACAAATGCCATCCAGTTTACATCCTTAAAAGAAATGTATTGCTAGATGTTCACATTTATGTATAAAGATACTATTGCTGCCCACCATCATCTTTTTAAAATTTGGAAGCACTTTATAAGTTTAAACATAGTGACAGTTTCAAAAACTGGTTTAAAATCTTCAAGTTGCTTTGTTAAGAACAACAAGCAGCAGAGAAGGAAGGAATTTCAGTGGAAATACATTGAATTGAGACAGAACATAGACTAAGTGAGGGGGGTGGTTCTTGCAGTTCTGCATGGTGGCAAACATACAAGTATTTTTGCAAAATAAATATGAATTCCTAAGATTTCTTCAATTATAATTTGAAAGATGTGGTAATTCATGCAGCTACTAACAGGGTCAAAGGCAGTCTTGATCTATAGTTGATTAAAAACAAACAAATAAACCAACAAAGATTCATCAGGTATTAATGCTGCACTCAGTTCCTACTGGGAGTTTTTCATCTCCTTGAAGAGTCAAGGTTAACACGTCTGAAGCAACACCAAAGTACAAGATAAGAGACGGTTAAGTGCTAAATTACGTTATCCTTGACGTGCTTCTCTTTGTACACTCTTGGAAATCTCATCTCTCATGACTTTATCTAATAACTATGTAGGTCAGTGTTTCTCAGTCTTGAGTAACGATGAACTGCTGCAAAAATTTCTCATGTTCCCTCAGTATGCAATGAAACATTTTTATTATTATTTTACCTACATATGCCCATCTAAAAATAGTCACTAACTGCTTAGCCTTATGACTCTTAACTATAAAAAACAAATTTACAAGTTAAATACAGAAAAGCTATACAATCAACGGAATTTAAATTGATTTAGTGGCAGGGATGATCTTTTACTGAAAAAATATCACCATTCTTATCCTGAGCACGATTCTGCCAGCAGGTTCCTTTGTGTTCAATGGGCCGTTCTCACTGTGAGTCATGGGATGACTCAGCTCTTGCCACTTTATTCAAACTACTGTGAACCTATCCTTCATACACTTCCTGTGGAATTTTTTTTGCCTGTAATTTGTATAAACACATCATATGTGTATTAACTCTGCTTGCAATATTTTCTCATTACTTGGCAACAATTAATATACTGTACTACAGATGATCAACCTGGTTGAAATACAAATGAAAAGGTGAGAAATATACTCTTGGGTAATACTTTATAAAAGAAAGCTGTCCAGATGGCACCAAATTTTCGTTTGTTACTTTTTAAAGATTGCTGTAGATATGAAGATACGAAATCCTTATTAAAAGGCATAGAAAAAAATCCTCATTAAAAACCGAGGGCATCTGTGGTGGGCACAGCTGTGTCTCCTAGATGCCCCCTAGGAGGAAGTGTGTGGCGCCCCGGCTATCAGCAGACAGCCTCCAGCTCTCAGTTCCTTTAGAGTTTGCTCAGCTGCAAAGAGCTGCTTAGCCCAAGGGCTCATCCTTCCCCAGGTGCCCTCACCCAGTGACTGATGGAGGCAGCAGTATTAAAACCTGGTTAGTTCCTCTGAACAGGGAGAACTCTGATGGGTCATATATGCACCAGCCACCCATTGGGGTCGGCTGAGGCTTTGTCAGCCTGCATGCAGTTCCACTTTCCCCTCCCAATCCTGCTTTCTCCCCTCTCTCATATTGCGACAAACTCTATCTCAGTGTCTGCTTCCAAAGAACTCCATGAACAAGGGCTTCCCAAACTCTGAGGACCCCCCAAAGGAGTGAGAATACCTCTTCTGTAGCCCTGATTCTTCTTGCAAGTTTCCAGCCTCAAAGGTCAGCTTCTGATCGTATATTCCTGATGTTACTTCAAATTCAACAGGTCCAAATCCGATGCATAACGAATTTCTTAGGCTTTTGCCTTGGAACGGTGTGTGTATGTGTGTGTGTGTGTTTTCTGCCTTATAAGTGCATTACTGGCCAGGTGCGGTGGCTCACGCCTGTAATCCTAGCACTTTGGGAGGCTGAGGCAGGAGGATCACTCAAGGTCAGGAGTTCAAGACCAGCCTGAGCAAGAGTGAGACCCTGTCTCTACTAAAAAATAGAAAGAAATTATCTGGACAACTAAAAATATATAGAAAAAATTAGCCGGGCATGGTGGTGCATGCCTGTAGTCCCAGCTACTGGGGAGGCTGAGGCAGAAGGATCGCTTGAGCCCAGGAGTTTGAGGTTGCTGTGAGCTAGGCTGATGCCACAGCACTCTAGCCAGGGCAACAGAGTGAAACTCTGTCTCCAAAAAAAAAAAATCTATATAAAAAAAATAATAAGGGCATTACTATTTTATTCCCAGAGCATCAAAAGTTGGGAGGTAACTTTGATTGCTCACATGCCTTGCTCTGCACATGCAGTCTATTATTCATGCTTCTTCACATGGGGAGGTCTTTGCTCTTTTCTACAGGGATCTACTTCCCTCTAAACAAGGCATGCTACTGAAATTATAATGGAGAGCTTCTCTTTGCCCTTGGGATAGCTATGCTTTTTAACAGTTTTGGGTTTCCCTTCCCTTTGATTCTGCAGACGTTAAATAATTTTTTTTTCTCCTAAAGGACACATTCACAAAATTGCAACCCACAATGACCTACTTGCTTTGGAGCACAATATATTGGCTCAGATGTTAAATAAAAGAGTCATGCTTTGAGGGGATGACTGCAAATGCTAAAGGCTCTACTTTTCCTTCTTCAATTAGGATTAGTGCAGTGCAGTCATTAGAAAAAAATGTTTATTTTGTCCCAGTTTAAGGTAAAATATATTCAATTTTCTTTTCTTACCTTTTATAGTGCACTAAAGAGTAAAGAAAAGTGAGTCTTGATAAATGCCAAAATGATAATTTTATAATACAAATAGAGACGAAAACATGTGTAAATGTTATGTAGTGTAGAAGTCTAAGAAAACATATATTTTCTAAAGCAGTTAACTCATTGAAAGATACTGATATTTAAAGTTGAAAGTTGTGTCGTCAGTTGAAAATGAGAATCTGAGATATTCGTGAGGGAGAAATTGTCAGGAAAGCAGTAGAACATTTCCTGGCCGTGGGTGCAGTCTTGAGGATTTATGACAGCCATGACGAATCCAAAAACCATCACCACAGCACCAATGGGAAGCATGACGCAGGATATAATCTTATCTGAGTGTGTCCTCGGTTCTTCAGACAGTTTCAGATAACATGCTGATGGAATGATAAAAATTAGGGGAGCCGCACAGAGCACACCCTGTGAGTCGAAAACAAGAAATAAGATAATGTTACTGAATGGAAGCATTCTCTGGACAGCTTTTTAAAACATTTACAAAATGTTATCTTTCATTGTACATGTTAAACATTTGATAAGGTCAGTTGAATCAAAGGAAAAGAAAAATAATTATAAGAAAGACTTAGAAATAGGTTTTTCCTTTTCCAATGGTATTTTCATAAGTGAAAACAATAAAATAGTATATCAGACTTAAGAAAAGATGATCAGAAAATAATACAGAAAAATAAAGCAAATACTAAGACTGACTTCTGGCAAACTCTTGACATTTCCCATATTTTCAGTTACATCATATTTCCTTATACTCATTTAAAATTACTGTATATTCACTATGCCTTTCAAACTTGAGTGGCCTCTTTGTCATCTGGGTGCAATTGGGAACTTTTGGAAAGTTGTGTGGGGCATACTATCTTTCCTCTTCACTTGAGCTTGCATGGAAGTAGTGCCCGTCTGTGTCAGAAAGAAAACTATAACCCTAAGGGAGCTGAACATGAAATAACACTTCTAAATCCTCTTTCAAGCAAAACTAAACACATTAATTACCCTAGAAAACTGACAGCAGCGATAAATGACTATAACTCATTCACCCTCCCCCACAGCTATGGATAAATCCTACCTAAGGGGGAATGTCAGATGGAAAATGAATGAGTAGAAGAGTTGTCTGTTATAAAAATACCAAGAGTTACTGACTTCAAAGGAAGAGACTTACCCCTTTAATCTAATTCTCACTAGAAACATTGCAAATAATAAAACTGCTAAAATTTAATGCATTTTAGATAATATATTGTTCTAATTATGTTAAATGTTAATTATATTACATATTAAAAATATAACTTGTTAATAAAATATATTAAAATTTATGACAAATGTTATTCTCTTAAGCCATAAAACACAAGATTTTTAAAAATAAATTTTATCGTGTATATTTGAGGTCTACATGATGTTATAGGATACATATAGATAGTAAAATGGTTACTGTATTGAAGCAAATTAACGTCTCTGTCATCTCTCATAGTTACTTTTTTGTAATGAGAGCAGCTAAAATATACTTAACAAAAATCTCAAATACAATACAATTTTATTAATTATAGTCCTCATTTTGTACATTAGATCTCTAGACTCTTTCATCCTACATATCTATTACTTTGCGTCTTTTGAGCTGCATCTCCCCATTTCTTCCCTCTGCCCCCTTCCCATGGTAATCACAGTTTTATTCTATCTCTGTATATTTGACCTTTTAAAAAATATATTTCACATATAACTGAGATTATGCAATATTTTTCTTTCTGTGTCAGGCTTATATCCTTAACATAATGTTCTCCAGGTCTATCCGTGTTGTGGCAAATGGCAGGATCTCTTTTTTTAAGGCTGAATAATAGTATGTTATACACACACACATACACACACACACACACACACAAGAGATTTTCTTTATCCATTCATCTATTGATGAACCTTTGGTTTTTTACATATCTTTACTACTATGAATAATGCTGGAATGAACATCCAAATATCTTTATGAGGTGGTGATTTCATCTCCTTTGGGTATATACCCAGAATAGGGATTTCTGGGACATATCACAGTTTTTTGTTTGTTTGTTTGTTTAAGGCAAGCATGAAAATGAGGTTTACTGAGAAGAGAAAGAGGATTATAGGGCAAGAGCAAGACATGGGTTTACAGAGCATCATACATACATACACCACAGATGACGACTGGACCCATTGTCACAGCAAAGGGAAAGCAAAAGGAAGGGCAAAAAGGGTAGTAGTTCTAATTTTAATTTCTTTAGGACTCTTCATACTGTTTTCCATAATGGCTGTACCAATCTACATTCCCACCAACAGTGTACTAGGGTTCCCTTTTCTCCACATCTTTGTCAACAACTGTTATCTCTTGTCTTTTTACTCATAGCCATCCTAAAGGATGTGAAGTGTTATCTCCTAGTGGTTTTAATTTTTCTGATGATTAATGATATTGAACACCTTTTCATATACCATGGTGGCCATTTTCATGTCTTCTTTGGAGAAATGTCTATTCAAGTCCTTTGCCCGTTTTTTTAATTCAGTTATTTGTTTTTCTGCTACTGAGTTTAAGAGTTCTTTGTAAATTTTGAATCTTAAACCCTTATCAGTTAAATGGGCTGCAAATATTTTTCCCAGTCTGTAGGTTACCTTTTCATTTTATTGATTGTTTCCATTGCTCTGCAGAAGTTTTTTAGTTTGATATAGTCCCATTTATTTATTTTTGCTTTTGTAATCTGAGTTTTTGGTATGATATCTGAAAAATCATTGCCAGGGCTAATGTCAAGGAGCTTTTCCCCCTATGTTCTCTTCTAGGAGTTTTATGGTTTCAGGTCTTACATTTATGTTTTTTATCCATTTTAAATTGATTTTTGTGTATGGTATAAGATAAGGGTCCACTTTCATTCTTTTACATGTGGAAATCTGGTTTGCCCAGCACCATTTATTGAAGAGACTATCCTTTCCTCATTGTGTCCTCTTGGTATCCTTACCAAAAATTAGCTGATTGTGTATGTTTGGATTCATTTCTGAGCTCTCTATTATGTTCCATCGGCCTATATTTCTGTTTTTATGCTGGTACCATACTGTTTTGATTACTATAGCTTTGTAATATAATTTTGAATCATGAAGTGGTGATGCCTCCAACTTTGTTTTTCTTTCTCAGTATTGCTTTGGCTGTTTGAGTCTTTTGTAGTTCCACATGAATTTTAGGATTGTCTTTTCTATTTCTATGAAGAATGCCATTAGAATTTTGATGGGGATTGGGTTGAAACTGTATATTGCTTTGGGTAGTTTGGAAATTTTGACAGTATTTATTCTTCTAATACATGTACACAGAATATCCTTCCATTTATTTATGTTTTCCATTTATTTGTATCTTCTTCAATTTCTTTCATCAGTGTTTTATAGCTTTCAGTGTATAAATCTTTTATATCCTTGATTAAAACCATTCCTAAGTATTTTATTTTAATTTTCTTTGATGCCATCACAAATGGGATTGTTCTCTTGATTTCTTTTTCAGCTAGGTTGCTATTTGTGTATAGAAATGCTACTGATTTTTGTATGTTGATTTTGTATCCTTCAACTTTACTGAGTTATAATTTATTAGTTTTAATACTTTTTTTTGCAGAATCTTTGGAGTTTTCTACATACAGGATCATGTCATCTGTAAATAGAGATAATTTTACTTCTTCATTTCCAATTTGGGTGTCTTTTACTTCTTTTTTTTGTCTGGTTGCTTTTGCTAGTACTTCCAGTACCATGTTGAATAGACATGGTGAGAGTAGGTACCCCTGCCTTGTACTGGATCTTAGTGGAAAAAACTAGTTTTTCCATATTGATTGTGGTATTAGCTGTGGGCTTTTCATAAATGGCCTTTGTTATATTGAGAAATTTTCCCTCTATATCTAAACAGTTAGAGTCTTTATCAAGAAAGAATGCTGAACTTTGTCAAATGTTTTTTTCTGCCTCAAGTGAGACAATCATGTGGTTTTTATCTTCCATTCTGTTAATGTGATATTTTATAACTGTTATACTCTTAAATCATAAGATGTAAGTTTTTTAAACAGTTAATAACAAATGTGATATTATTGGTTTATAATTAAATGCAATTTTTGCATAAATATATTTTGCTATATATTAAAACTTACTATTATGTAGATTTATAAGTATACATAAAAGTAGAAAGAATAGTATAATGAAGCCCTATGCAACAATCACCTATGATTTAAGCTTTTTGACACATTATTTTGGTATATTTTCCCCAGGGAAAATCACAGCAAAATAAATTTGAAGTCAAATGATGTAAAATAACAAACAATACCTTAAAAATAGCTTTAAAATAACTATTTTTTAATATCACCAGTTAATAAAATTACTGTGTGTTTTATATTAAGCACCATTTCCACACTGGAAATATTACAAATATGATTCTAGTAATATAACTATTTTTTATTTTTACAAAAACAAAAAAGTCCAGAGAAATAGAAATTAAGGGTGACACATTATGAAATCAGACTAGCCAGGTAGTATTTAAAAATTTGGGAAAGAATAGTAGAGAACACACTACATGGAAATATTTCCTCAGTAAGATATATAAAAATGAGGAAACACTAAGAGGTACCAAAAGTGCATTCTAATGTAACATATATGGACAATATGCTTTTGCCATTTGTTGCACCTCAATATAAATGAATATGTACAAAGGTACACAATAAATAAAAGATTAGTTGTCATATGGCTGGAATTAAATGAATTATGGATTCCACAGACTCTATCATGATACTTGGAATTGATAATGCTTTTTAAGTTATGGAAAATACTGTAGAACTCATTCTGTATTTACGACAAAAAAGTATTACCCTTTGGTTTCTTTGAAATAAGAATTTATGGAGTCCACTTGCTCAAGGCTTCTTGGGCATGGCTCCAGGTAAAAAGTAAAAAATTTCAAAACATAAATAAAATGAAAAGAAAAAAAGAATTTATGAAAACAACAAAAAAGTAATTCAAATACAAATATATGTATACGTGTGTGTGTGTGTGTGTGTTTAGTCTCATCTCTTTGTTAGGACAAGCATATGAGGCTAATTCATCTGGAACTACAGATTGTGAAGGTGTTATCAGGATGAAAACCGCCCCAGCTGCTGCTAAGAAGCTGTCATCAGTCAGCCTTTTGGTACTGTTCCAAACCTACCTTGCGGGGCAGTGCAAAGCAATGGGTGTTCTGTTTATGTTATAATTCTTAAGAGTTGAGAAAGTAACAATTAGAGGGAAAACTATACAGTTCATATTTGTACTAGAAGTCCAGTTGAGTATCTTGTTTAGATACGAGTTACTTTCTTAATATTTAAAAGCTCAGTTGCAGGCCAGGCGCGGTGGCTCATGCCTGTAATCCTAGCTCTCTGGGAGGCCGAGGTGGGCGGATTGTTTGAGCTCAGGAGTTCGAAACCAGCCTGAGCAAGAGCGAGACCCCATCTCTACTAAAAATAGAAAGAAATTAATGGACAACTAAAAATATATAGAAAAAATTAGCCGGGCATGGTGGCACATGCCTGTGGTCCCAGCTACTTGGGAGGCTGAGGCAGGAGGATCGCTTGAGCCCAGGAGTTTGAGGTTGCTGTGAGCTAGGATGACGCCACGGCACTCACTCTAACCAGGGCAACAGAGTGAGACTCTGTCTCAAAAATAAATAAATAAATAAATAAAAGCTCAGTTGCTAAAAGTCGAGATCATCAGGAAAATGATAGTGCAATTCCATCTGATATATTCCCTCTAAATTAGTCCAGCTTATTTGATCTATTTAATGTAGACTTGCTTGAGGGTACACAACAGGCTTTGGAATAATTTTTGAGATTGCTTGACAGGATGTAAAACAATAGCTGCTTATTAAAAAGACAATAAAATATAGTTTCATTTATAAAGGCAGGAAAGCACTATTCATTGATAATAGCACTTTTGATGCCAGGGCATTTTGCAGTTTGCAGCAGAGAAAGAATAGAGGGTGTTGAAGATTTTTACTAGCGATACGGATTGGAAAAGTGACTGAATTCTTCTACTTGAATAAATCTCTCAAATGATACAAGGAAGCTGAAAACTAAATAAGAGCATACTTATACATCTTTTAAATTTCCACTTTGTAATCAATTCAGAGTCATGAATTTCATTCCTATACTCTAAAGAGAAACTCTCTCAAGCTCAGGAGATCTTTGGCAGCTTGGATTGTGGCTTGCTCACCCTGATGGTTGTATTTCTACATCTGGGCTCTTGCTGAGTGTTTGGCTTCCTTTCTTCCTTCCACTGTAAGCTGCACACAATGCTTGTTGGGTTGGTTATGTTGGTCACAGGTACCAGCTGCTTCGTTTTTTTTTTTTTAAATACGGCTGCAAGTAGAAACCCATGAGGCCCAGTTAATGCAGATGCCTCTTTTCTCTAACAGCAACATTAGTGCCAAAGTGCCAGATTCTTATTACTAAGAATGGTACTTATATTTGTTTTATTGGCTTCCAAAATGAATTCGTTAAAACTAAGGGTGCATCTGCTTTGGAAAATTATTTCATTATTGTCTACTGCCATGAAAACAGCAAAATAAGAGGAAAGTTCTAAATGGGATTTTTCTTTTTATTGACTAACTGACATAAACCCAAATCATTTTATCCTATCTATTTAGTTACACTAAATGACAGTATTTCCCTAACTTTGCAAGATCCGATTATAATGCACATCTCATCTGTGAAGGTCATTGGTCTACTTAGTGATGATTCAGAAGCCACAATAAAAAAGAACTCCTAAAGTACTACAATTATTATCTGAGATAAAAGCTATTAACTAAATTCCTAAAATACTGAAATTATTAACTAAGATGAAAGTTATTAACTGGAAATTATTGAGACAAAAACATATTTATGGGAACTGTGGTTCCCAAATTTGGTTCCCAAATCCCAAATTACTGCATGGACAAACAACCATGCAGTAATTTGAGCACTGTGTTCTTAGCTCTGTGCTAGATACCGTGGAGAATGGGGAAGGCGGTTAAATACTCTGGTCTTCAAAGAGCTTACAATTTGGTAGATAAGGCAATCTTATGGACAGCTCAAACGGTACATGATATGAAATAATACATAAATCAATTTAGTGTATTCACATAGCAGTGATCCATTTACACAAATCAAGGTTAGTACATCAAATGATTTCAAATGGACCTACTAGCCTTTGGCTTATGCAAAATTGGGAAGAAGGTAAAAGTTACCTTTGACATTTATTTACCTCTCCTATGAGCTTTCTTTCCATCCTGGGTGGAACAGACAATTCCCCAGTCCTTTGAAGCTTTGGAAGGCCGACTACTCCCCACTTCCCATGTACAAGAAAATTCCCAATAGTATGTCCCTGACTGAATCTCCTACTGCCTTTATCTGGAACGTCAAATCAAAACGGCATCTGGAGGGAATAGTGACTTGGGCACTGACAATAACACCTTCACGCATGCCTAAATTCTCAACAAAATGAGTAAATGATGATTTGGGATCCCACCTGTAAAAGTCTGCCCTCCTTCTAGTGCATAACTAAGAAATGCTAAGTGGTGAGCGAGTCTGATTAGAAATTCTGTAAGGACTGTATTAATAGACGGGGAAGATAAAGGGGTAGATCCACTTCCATTCCCGTTTCACCAAATGGCACCATTATCTTAGTACCGCAAAATAGAACCACAGAGGGTTTTTTTGTTTGTTTTTTTTGTATTTTGACTACAAAGCCTAGATCTGAATCAAGGAGTCATTCTTTTTTTTTTTTTTTTTGAAACAGAGTCTCGCTCTGTCATCCAGGGCTAGAGTGCCGTGGCGTCAGCCTAGCTCACAGCAACCTCAAACTCCTGGGCTCAAGGGATCCTCCTGCCTCAGCCTCCCAAGTAGCTGGGACTACAGGTGCATGCCATGATGCCCAGCCAATTTTTTCTATTTTCAGTAGAGATGGGGTCTCACTCTTGCTCAGGCTGGTCTTGAACTCCTAACCTCAAGGGATTCTCCTACCTCAGCCTCCCAGAGTGCTAGGATTATAGGCATGAGCCACTGCGCCTGGCCTAAGGAGTCATTCTTAATGTGTTCCTCTATCCCCTTATTTTCCCAATTGAATCTGTCACCAGATTGTGTCAATCCTGTCTTAAAAATGTCTTCCGCGAGCCCATTCACTTCCCTCTGTCTTCTTTATCACCTATTTAGCAGTTAAATCTTTATGTTTATTTGTGAGAAAGCATAGATCCTTTCTGATTTCCTTCTATCATTATGTTCTATTGTGTGGTACATAGCAATTACTCAGTAAATATATAATCAATGAATAAATGAGTTAGAAGTTGTACTAGACCTTCAAGTCTTGTAGATTTGGACAGAAATGAAAGGAAAATAATCATAATAGGAAATAAAAAACAGAGAAGCAAAGGATAATAGGAAGAATTGATATGGCTTATTCACAGACCAAAATAAGATTGACTAGAGCTAAGGGAAGATTTGGGGAAATAAATGAGAAATAACTTTCTTTAGAAGGCATAGGATCAGATAATAGAGGCAATGGAATTTATACTTGCTTGGTTAAAAAAAGTGGAGTTTTTAAGTAGGATGCTAATAAACTGAAAGAAGAACTTTTTTGCTTCAATGTGATAGTTGAAACAAAAAAGCCAGGATTCATTTTTAAATGTGATATGATGAGGACTTAGATTTAGGTGGTGGCAGTACAGATTCCAAAATAAAGGTCTGGAGAGAGAAAAAAATATTTAAAGAAGAAGAAATTGGGCCATAGTAAGTGCATGTGCAATATGGATATAACTCTAATCCTTCCGTTTTTTTAATGAATCTCACTAGTCATATTTTTACTCAGCAAATTCCAGATTCACTTACTTTATAGTTATTTTTAGTAATATCTATGTATTATAGTAAATAAGATAAACAAAAGTGCTCTAAAGCAGGTTTTCTCAACCGCAGCACTATTGCCATTTTGGGTCTGATCATTCTTTGTTGTGGGGAGCCTGTCCTGTGCTGTGGGGGGTTCAGCAGTATCCCTGGCCTCTACCCACTGGATGCCAACAGCACTCCCACCCAGTCGTGACAACCAAAAATGTCTCCCGACAATGTCAAATGTCCCTTGGGAAAGGAAGAGCAAAACTGCCCCCATATGAGAACCACTGATTTAGAAATATATAGTCCTACAAAGTACACAGTATCATCATTACAAATATTTACTCTTGTATTACAAACACATTTTCATTCCACTTCAGAAAGTGACACTCTTGTTAAAAAAATACATGGTAAGTTAAATGTAAACATTATTTTTTTAAAGGGAATTTTAGCATGGAGTAAATCTTTAAATGTACTTACATTGAGTTCTAAAACTATTCCAAGGCAGTCAATCAGCAATGACACAAGCATGGCTATAGTAATGATAACCACCGTTATAACCACGTGGAAAACTGATGGAAGAGTCCCACCAAAAAACACATTGGCAATTACCTGCCAAATAAACAGATTATTTTGAAAGGGACTCAGGATTTATTGAGAGTATTTCATAAAAGCATTTAGGACTGTATAAAATACTACCAATAAGGCAATTGATCAAATCTCAAGTCACTAGGAATGTTTTGTCTTTTTCAAAGTACTTGCACATAGACACGCATGTCAATAACAAGTATTCTTTGTTGAACTATTGGACGGTCAGTGAATTATATTACAGACTCATAGTATGGCATACCAATGTTTGAATACATATATTTCTCAAGTATAAGAGACCTTGGAAATTTATCTTATTCTTTTTCCTTGAGTCCAACAAGGTTACTATTATAAAACAAACTAGACACTATTTAGATTATTTGAATGGCCTTGAAGGAAGTGGTTACCCCATTTCCTTTAATAATACTGAATGTGTAATATCTTTTACCAATAGGAAATTAATTCTCTATAAACTAAATCCTAATTGTTACAATTTAAGTCTACTTTATATTGCCTTTCCTCAACAAAAATGGAAAAGAGTTCATCACTATTTTCCATTAATACTCGGATCAAGAAATCAATCAACAGTTACCAACTTAATGTGTCCCATACTGTGATGTGGTTTACAAAGATAAAATGTCTAGGAGATGATTCCTATTCTGAGGAATTAATAATTGGAGATATACAACCAATCTAAAAAAACAAATAGAGATCAAAATTTATGTCAGGACAAAAAAAGATCAAAGAGGATTTAGAACTAAAAGGAGCTTTAGGTATTCAGATCTTTCTCCTTTAGAGTAATCTCTTTCACAACGCTCCTGAAATGTGCTTGACCTACCTTGGTTTGAGGTGGGACTTGAAACATGAATAGCATTTGAAGCAGAATTATAGGCTGAGGGAACAGTGTGAAAAAGAGCAAAGAGGTAAGAACACGAATGATACGTATGGAGGAGAAGGAGGAGGCAGTCTAAATAGGGTGGTGGCCCTGTGCAAAGGACAGTGAGACATGAGCTGGAAACGGCAGCAGAGGGTCAGATGCTGGCAGATCGTAAAGAAGCAGCTCTCCAAGCTTTGCTGCCTAGATATGAAACATTCCCCATAGATCAGATACTGCCATGACTCTGCTAATACATTCATGGTGATGCTTTTACTGCTTACAATTTGTAATGTCTTCCCAAATATCATCTTATTTAAAATCCATTCTTATAGATGTCTCTATGATATAATTGTGAAAGTGAAAAATCACTGAGTGAGGCAGGCAAGTGAAAGACATTTATTAATGGTAGATAGCCTTTTTGGCACCCTTGTATATGGCTGGCTACTTTACCTATGAATAGAAATGGTTTCATTACACTAATGGCAACTGTATATTTGTGTGTGTGTGTGTCTGTGTGTGTGTAGAACGAAGAGAAAGAGAAGAAGTGACTGGGAAAAGTATATACAACATTCTCTGACAAGGATTTGCTACTGTGGCAGAGACCTCGATATTATTCTGTCTTCCTGTCACGGCAGCTAGAAAGGAAACTCAAGTTTCAAGTACTGAAGACAGAAGCTGTGCAGGTGAAGTGACTCAGACGGTCCACAGGCAGTTTACCAGAAACCACATGAGAATGTACCATTTGTTGTTGTTGATCTAAGACCAGATTTGAACCTAACGTCCTGGGCAGAAGCTATAATACCATTGCCTGCATCTAACAGTAGTTAGCACTGGCTCTTACATTTTGAAAAGATCTTCACAAAGTAACCTTAATTCAGTCTATTTCTCCCTTATAGTCAAGATAGAGAACTGGCCTGTGAGTTGTACGTTTCCGAGTGAGCAAAAGTGCTAACTGTGAAGGACATGCACAGTGCTGAACATTTCCCTCTTCCACTTCCCTGAGCCGTTCCTCATGCCCAGCGCTGGCTGAAGGTAGCAGGCCTGCCTCAAGAAGCCTGCCAATTCCGTAGTGTATTTAAAGCTCTGTAGACATTTCACTTCACACATTACACCCATTCACATGGTGCGCTGTGTAAACAGCCTCTTCGAATAGATCCTCAGACTAAGCCCTTTTCAGTGTGATTCCTGAAAGAACTGCTGTGAAGGAGGATCGTGTTTTTACTGTGAACTGGGCCAGTGGATTTTTAGCTGACAGCATAAGGGATTCCTGACAAGCTATGTGATCCAATTTTACACCAAAAGAATTAATTTGCTTTCAGCTAATCTTTCTCCACAAATCCAGGTGGTCCATATAACATGATTTAGAGCTGACTTTTAAATGAAATATATTTATAGATAAATAATGTACTATATATTTAAATTATCTATATATAGTTTATCATGTACTATATATTTAAATTATCTATATTATTTTGTTATATAAACATGTAAATAAATAAATATATTTATGTAAATATATAAATAAAATATATCTGTAAAACTGAAGGCTTAAGTTCAATTTTGGTTCTCCATAGAAGATCAGATGCTTTAGGTTTTTTTTGTTTTTTTTGAGACAGAGTCTGGCTGTTTGCCCTGGCTAGAGTGAGTGCCGTGGCGTCAGCCTAGCTCACAGCAACCTCAAACTCCTGGGCTCAGGCGAGCCTCCTGCCTCAGCCTCCTGAGTAGCTGGGACTACAGGCATGCGCCACCATGCCCGGGTAATTTTTTCTATATATATATTTTTAGTTGTCCAGATAATTTCTTTCTATTTTTAGTAGAGACGGGGTCTCGCTCTTGCTCAGGCTGGTCTCAAACTCCTGACCTTGAGCGATCCTCCAGCCTCGGCCTCCCAGAGTGCTAGGATTGCAGGCGTGAGCCACTGTGCCCGGCCAAGGTACTTTAGTTTTTAAGAAACAACACAACCAATTAAAATCTGATCTATGGTGTCTTTAGTACATGTTGACTTATAGCATAGCTCAGCAAAAAGACCATTTTGTAAAACATGTTCTGAACCTTGGTACTTAGTTACTTTGTGAGAATGCTATTAAAAATAACCTAACAACCTTAGTTTGGCTGTTACTAAAGGCTCAAATTCACTTTGGAATGCAGTTGTATAAATATTTGTGCTTATGGTAATATAAACCAAACTAACAAATTTAATTTTCAAATCCAACTTTTGAAAAATTGTCTCGTAAACATCTGAATATAATTCATTTTAAACTCTGAAAAAGAAAATTTTATAAATGATACCACTTGTTATGTACTTGGGAATTTGCCAAATTGAATTATTTATAAATCTTCCTAAATAAAATATAATAGAGAAATCACCTGGATAAAGCGTTGAAAAGGAATTGTACTTACCTCTCTAGTCACAAAGCATTCCATCGGATATGTCAAAAGGACAGTGATGCCATAACAAAATCTCCCAAATGTTACCAGATTATCACTTCTGCAATAATTTTCAAATAAGTCTCCTAGAAAATAATGTAAAATAAGTTTATTTACTAGATACTGTATATTTGAGATAACCAATAAATAAAAAATATTAGATATTTATTATAGTCATGCATCACCTAAGGGACCCCATAGAAGACAGTGGCCCCATAAGATGGTAATGTCTGTATTTTTTCTATGTTTAGATATATTTAGATATACAAATACTTACCATTGTGTTCTAATTGCCTACACTATTAGCACTGTGATATACTGTACAGGTTCGTTGCCTATGAGCAATAGTTTATACCATGTAGCCTAGATGTGTAGTAGGCTATACCACCTAGGTTTGTGTAAGTATACTCTGTGATGTTCGCATAAGGGTGAAATTGCCTAATGATGCATCCCTCAGAATGTGTCCCTGTCATTAAGCAACAAATGACTGTATATAAGTGAAACTCCACAAATTTCATTTTCTTTAATTAAAAGAACAACAGATTACCAGACTAAATGTAAGTTTTTGCATTCAATAATGATGTAATTATTCATTGATTTTAAACCAATATGTGTTCCTCTTTAAGATAAATCCATCACTAATAGTTTTTTTCTCTTATTCTCATTGTTTGTTTTTGGTAGGTTTACCTCAAATTTGTATCAACTTCTGAAAAATACTTTATCCATTGTCTTCTTACATCAGAATCAACTCCCTAAATTCTTGTGCATTGGCTTTGTAAACTTGCTTCTGGTCTTTGTTTCTGGTGGGTAAGTGACTTCATTATTTTTTAAAAAAATGGCTGTTAAAATAAACAAAGTTCCTTTTGAAATGCTATTCTTAGATCAAGAACAATCCTGAAAGGAAGAGTAGACCAGTACATCTGGGGAGCTGGATTTCCTGTATATCATGCTATAGGGTTTAATCGCAAACTTGGGGCCACAGCAAGGAATTCCAAACATATATTGTCTTTCATGTCATCTGATGAGCCCCAGTGTAAATGCACTGATTCAAAACTCTGAAAATATGGCTATTTCCCAGAAAGAACATTTAATTTAATTAGTTTCAAACTAAATGATGGATTGTATAAACCTTAAAAATAATTCTTATCTAGAGACTATATTTTCTTAGCTTTCTATGAAGAAATGCAGGGATTTAACTGGGCAAAGAAATCATGTCAACAAAAAAACATTTACCAATGCTGAAACAGAGTATTTGGGCCTGTTTATTTTCTGAATATAATATGCTTATATTTTAAAATTGTGGTCACCTTTTTAAAACTAAACCAAATCAAAAATTAGATTAAAGTCACCCACTACTACACTGTTTAAAAAGAGAAAAAACAAAATCATAATACTTCTGTACTTTTTTCCATTAAAATGCTAAATACCCTAAATGACCTGCTTCTTCCCAGGATTTACTTTAAGTGACTCTCCCCTCCCCCCATCAACTGGAACAAATGTACATAACTTTACAATGTCCCTTTCGGGGAGAAGGAGATTGAACCACAGAGCAAAGGTGGCAGAGACCTGCTTCAAGGTTGATTGAAAACATTGCAGCACTCTCAGAAAAAAAGGACTGAAGCTCCCTGTTCGCTAACCTCTGCCAAGAAATGGACCCTACATCTTTTCAAAAGTCACTGGGACTGTCAAGAAGAATCCAGAGTTCCCTCTGCCTCACAAGCTGAAATTTGTCTACTGAAAGGGATAAGAAAAGAAGCATGCAGTTTGCACAAATAAGACCAGATTTGCCTAAGGAGAAATGTTCTAGAGAAACAATGCCAGCTTATTCCAGCTTAAATCTAAGTGTATTTTAGGGAATTATGGCTAGGGAAAAAACAACAACAACAATATCAAACACCTGTCAGCTTTGTTATATAAGATTTAATTACATCTGAGCAATTACCACTCATAAAAACACCAGGAAGGTGGAACTAACAAAAAAGATTTATGTCATACAGAGAAGGCATTTAAAAACCAAGGTCCTGTACGGACTGGAGCCCCTAGGCCACTCCTTTTGACAAACAATGTAGCAATAGTGATACATGGCAATGTTTTGGAACACAATTCTTATCAGGACTTTCAAGGTCACTTTATTACTGCACTCTAAGGGCACACGCATATATTATATTTTTGACCGCATTGGAATTATGTTAATTATTATTTTTGAAGCCATCTTTATTTCCTGAGAAATATCTGCCTACAATCATAGTGACTGGTAACCTCTGTTCAAAACAAGGCAGCCATTCTCCCAAGAGCACCCCAGTGTCTTCAGAAAACTAAGCTAAGGGGAGCTGAAGGCTAAGGAACAGCTTTTAGTGGACAATGCTTGACCAAAATGGGAGCAGTAGAAAGAGAATGGAAAAAATACTGGACTTAAGAGTCGGAAGACTTGTTTTCTAGTTTGTCACCAGCCAGCATGGGCAAGTTGCTTCACCTCTTTGTGTTTTAATCAGGGGTAAAACTAGTTATTCCACTTCCCTTCAAAGGGTTGTTTGAAGGTCAATGAGATAATAGACCTGCAGGAGCTATGAAGTGTATGAATCACAGCATTTAGCCTACTGTCAGACTGCCCTGAATATTACACTACATAGATGATTGAATGTAAGGGCCAAAGGAAGTCGAAGAGATGACTACTTAGTTGTTGGGCCTGGGTGAATACAAGAAAAGAGAAGTAACTTTGGAAGGAGGGACAGAAATGGCTGCTTTTATGGGAAAGATGATGTTTTGTGATTAAGGTAAGAATGGGACAATTGAATAGAAATGTCCTGCAGGCATCAGGCTGGAGATGAAAAGAAAGGTCTGGGTTAGAACTAAAACAATGAAAGTGTCTGGAGAATCTGTTGAGAGAAAAGCAAGCCACAGGCCTGAACCAGTTATCTGGGTGGGAGTGGAGTGAGGGATTAGAGAGGGCAAAGAGAGAGAAAAGAAAGAAAAAAATTATTAACAGAGGTAAAGAATAACAATGATAATATAGTAGTGCTTTTTCCTCTAAGGGAGGAAAATTTGAAGAAAGAAAGGAAGTTCAGTATTGTTAAGTAATCCAGAGAGATTCAGGAGAATCAGAAACAGGAAGGTTATTAGTTTTGAAGACTGGAAGGCCATTGGTACCTTTGAAAGAGAAGCTGCAGTGGAGTAGCAGGGAGGAAAGCCAGGATTCATGTGCTTGGAAGTGAAAGCATGGAAGGAGAGAGTATGGATGACAGAATTAAGTTTGGCAGCTTAAGAAGGAAAAAGTTAGGAAACAGGGACAGCAGGAAATCAGCAGGGTAGAGGAGAGAATGGGTGGAAGAGAGTGATCCTTTGAAACAGAACACTGGGCATACTTGTACTAATAATGAGCAGAACACTGGGTATGCTTGTACCAATCCACACGAACACCAAAATACAACATGACTGAATCTCTGATTTTTACCTTGGGTGAAGCCAGTAAACGACAGGTATCCACATGTAGCAAAGAGCATACAGATAAACGTGGAAACCATGATGGATGTATGGATGATGCGGGACCACTTAGCTACCGTGGGTTCTTCTAAAGAACTGTAAACTAAGAAGGAGTTATGGTGGCAAATAAATGCTGCAATCCAAAAACAAAACAAAACAAGCATTATTAAAGCAAGCATCAAGGTTTTCTTTCTTAGTTCTGAAAATTCAGAGACGTGTGCTACTGTAGATGCCAATGAACGGAAGTTTAAATATAATTAATTTACTAAATATGTCAGAAAATAATTTTTCTCATAACTCTGGGAATGAGAAAGTTCATTCACATTAGGCTTATATGGTCTCTTCTTGTCACTTTTGATACAAACCAGGGCAGTTCCAATTTCTCTTCCATTTTGCTTTTCCTAATGGTTCTTCCCATCTTAAGGAAAATCTAAACATCACCATAATTTTTAGTCCATGGCTTCCTTTGCCATCTGGGACATAATAGTTTTAGATATCTGGCCAATTCATACTATAATACTTTGTGTGCAAGAGTTTGAAGAAGTTCCTAACACTTGCTAGACTTCCAAGTTAAGAAACAAGATGACTATAATGAGTTTTCTGCATAAGAAATAGATTTCTCCAAATCGAATCAAATTTTAGTGATGAGTGAGAAAAGTTTGAGCCTAATTTTATATTGGCACAAACTAGATCATATGCTGCTAATAGGAAGTCTAAAACTTAGGACATCTGCTATGCAGACATAAATATGAAACACATCACTCTTTCATGAAACAAATGACTCCATATTGAGAAAAGGCCTCTGAAACCATGTACTCACCAAAAGACATAACCCCAACAGCCTGAATGGCATTAGGCTTTGCAAATACCCAGGCATCATCTGTTTTTGGTCTAGAAGAGAAATCAGTTAACTTGATAAATTATTAAACCAATTCAAGCATATCAGAGAAAAAGAAATGGTGTCACAAATATAAATTGAGTCTCTTTAAGCCAGAAATTAATAAGGAGCCCCCATTAACCTTATTTAATCATGGTAAGTTTCCCAGGAACATCAGTGTTATTTCTTAACCCCAGTCCTCTAAATGCATACCAAATAGTTGGGCAGATTCCATTTTTACATATGTAAAATATCCATTAATTAATAATTTTGTGAATTTATTTTCTCACCAATTTAAGAATCAACATTTACTATGCACTCACCAGTTGAGACAGTCATTGAGGGAGATACAAAAATTAATAATGCCCAATTACTGCCCTATATTTTCCTCTTACTTATTTTTCCAGGCTCAACCTACCCTAGGGAAATTTAGTCAGCACTACAGTTTATTGAGGGAGGGGGGACATGAACTAATATTTAATACTAATTGAGAATGTACTGATTATGTTTTGGGAACTCTGCTGTGTTATCCCAATTAATTTTCACAACATGTAAGTATTATTATCACCATTAAACACATGAGGACAGTCAAGCTCTGGATGGTGATATAACTTGTCAAGTTTACACACATAATAAATGAAGATTTGAGATTTATCTTCTTGGTCTGCTTATTCCAATATCTCTTCCATGCTGAACCATCTGTCAGTGGCCTCAAAATTCCCGCCCATGGATTCACTTCTCAAAGGAATTTTGGAAATATATGCACTTTATATAGCTTGAAGCAGCTTATATCCTAGTGGAATTTAAATATTCGGTGGTCGGTTGGGATTGGTCTACCTGGTTAACACATCCTAAGTAATGATGAAGAGCACAGACTCCAAGATCAGATAGCCTGTGTTGTTCTTCCGGCCTCTTCCACTTATTAGCTGTGTGATCTAAGGCAAGCTCCCTGGGCTTCAATTTCTACATCTATAAAACGGGGATAATAGTCATATCTAATTTATTGAGTTATTGTGTAGATTAAATGAGATAAAATATGTAAAACTTCTAGAATTTATCACACAGTACATGCTCAATAAATGGTCATTAGTTTTATCGTCATTGTGTATTAATATTGTTATTATCTACTGTTATTTAATAAAAGGTAGCAAAAACTCTAAAAGTATGGCCAACTTCCCTGGAAAGGAAAGGCTTGAGTGAGAACCAAAGGAATGTATGAAGAAGGGAACAGGGGAAGAGTTCTAGAAAGAGCATGAAGGCACTGCACTGGGTGTTTTAAATAAAAAAGACGATTCAAAAGATTAAAACTCACCTATTTCATACGTTTGCTATTCATTCTCTATGTAAAGAATACACACAAATCCTTTTGGTTTTGTCAACGTTTGTGGGATTTATGCATTATGTTATCTTTCCTTCCATATGTGAAATGCACAGTTATAGACACAAAGAATTTTACAGAAAGGCTAGCCAGCAAGGGAGGCCACAAATTGTTTCATGACTTGCTCCAATTCCCAGTTTTTGGAGTGGGAGCTGCTGCCACCTGCTGCCTCCACAGTAGTCTAATTGCAGTCAGCATTAAAAGACAGTAGCATACCTGTTAAATTCCAATGTTAGTGTGGGAAAATACATATTTTGTACATGATCTTTAGAAAATGATTTAGAACAAGCAGCACTAACAGTTGTAGAAACTTGAAGATTCTCTAACTTTGTAATATATTTTAAATGATATGCTTTCCCTGTTAAGGTTTCTGCATGTGAAAAATACTCACTTCCCCCCTTCAGTACAGATTGTGGTGGTGTCCTCATTTTTAAATCTTATATTAGTAATGAAAATGTAGGAGTTTGATTTTCGTATTTTTCCTTGCATGTAAGTTTTTTCCCCCCTGGTCCATATGGTTCCTTGAGTATATTCCTGGAGTGTGAAACAATACCTAGAGATAATTTTGGATTTTCTCTGTTCATCTTAATGATGGTGATTTTATAAGATTGAAAGTGCCAAAAAAAGATGTTACAGATAGGAAAATGCATATGTCCAAATCTAAGGAAAGAGAAGGAAACAGATATTGAGTATGGCTTTCCAATCATTTATAAAATAGCC